TCCTTCCTTCCTTCCTTCCTTCCTTCCTTCCTTCCTTCCTTCCTTCCCATCCTTTTCTAGTTGGCAGGTAAATGGCTGTGGCTGGATAAGGGAGGGAGCAAGGGATTGCAAGACTGGCTGGGAAACATATGTCCTAATTTTTGTCACACACACCTCAGTTTCTTGTATCTCTCTGTTTTTTCTTACTCCAATCGTCAATTGTTATGAGTAGATATTTAGCTGATGAAATCATTATAGAACATACACATTTTTAGGAAATAGTAGTTTATATAATTGGATATAATCAAGCTTTTTGTTAACTTACAAAAATAACTTAATTCATCACATCTATTAAGTCCAATTCTGATAAATGTTTGCCTGTTATTATGCTTTTTAAAACCACCACTCCCAAAGGACTTAGTTGAGTAAAGTTGTGGGTCTAAATTTTTAATAGCATACTTGGAAAAAGTTTAACCATATTTAATTCTTTCTTAAATATGATTTGTGGCAATATTTTATATGACCAGCCTTCTATAATTCTTTATGTAAGGACTAGGACTTTAAACTAGGACACTTACCTACATTAGTGATGTATAGTGGTAGCCAGAAAAGAAAAGTGTAGCTGACTAATTTGGCAAATAATAGGCAGAGAGAAAATTCTACCACTCCCTACAAAGAATGGAAAATAACATTAATTTGAAAAGGAAAAAACCAAGCATTTTACTTTGGGGTAATTTTTGTGCAAGGATTTCTGTACAACATATAGGTGTCGAATATTATACAGATATAATTAAATAATAATATAGGATCATGCATAAACAGCCTCTGTTCAAAGAGTAATCATTGATACAAAGCAAACAGCATGGTCTGCAGTCATATACCCTCTGTAAGATTGAACCAATAAGATTTATTTCAATATATGAGATAATGGATCCATCGAAAGTTTCTATTGCAAATGAGCCGTGCCTTGGAGCTGCCTCATTTGCTAGGGACCCTCCTTTCAAACCAACAAATAATAAGGTAACATCAAAAAAATCTCTTTCTTTTGCTATCATTTAAGAGTGACTATGATATTGGAATCTTTTGAACTTGGGGGTCGGGGAGGGGGGAAGAATCTTCTTGCATAGTCCATTCTAATCCCTCCTCTCTTTAAGTGCACAACCCTTTTTGCTAATCGAATGTTACACCATCTAGAGTGTGTCAGCCCCCCATCCATCTTGAATCGGATTCAGAGCTGTCACAAGGGAGAATGGGTAACTGTGGGAATGAAAGCAAAGTGAGAAGGGAGGATAGCTGCAACAACATTCTTTCATCAGAGCTCAAGGCCGAGTCCCTGGAGTTTGGAGGGGAGTGACTGGACTTGGCTGGAGTTCAGAATGGAGGTGGATTGGAGAGTGTGACTTGAGGGTCATCAGTAAGGGGGCTGGGTGTGAGTTTGATATAGCGGGCGAAAATGAGGGATTTCAGATCTGGGTTTTCCCAGATGTGCCAATCTGACTTCTCTAATGAATTCTTACTTGGATGTCATATTAGTCTCTGAGTGCTGATTTGAGATGGAGAGTTTGGTTGGAACACTGACGGAGTGTTTTCTTCTCTGGAATAATTCCCATGAATGGAAATTCCAAAGCCATGCATTAACAACAATCCTGATGGTTTTCTAGGGATCTATAAGATTGGTTCAGGTTTCAGTTTAATTAAACCTCCTTTCAAATGAATTATTGTTAAATTGTCAAGTTCACTTAGTGTGTTGAATAAAATCAGGTGCTTTCAGTTTGATTCAAAAATCTTGCACATGCATATACATACTTTGATACAGTAGAACTGAATCTTGAAATTAAAGAGATTCAAATCTGATTGTAAATTCACATTAGAAATTGGTTGATTGACATATGTCTAATGGTTTTATTCTTCATAGTCCCCACATTCAAATTAGAATTTGGCTGCTGGCATATTTCCAATGATCCGCCACTACCATTACTAGAGAAGCTGGCATACTCACAGGTATTTGCAAAGCACCAGTAAAACTTATAGCAGCATTTCCATTTCCAAAGTGTTCGTATCCTCCATTAAGATTCAGTGGCTTTGTGCAATTTTCATTACTCCGTAGCAGACATTGCATTTCTGGATCCTATAAGAGAGACCCCATCAAACTTAGTGTAGGCAGTATGTCTCTTCTCTAAGCAACTGAACTAAGCAACTGAAATATTGTAATGTACAGTAAAAAAAAAAGATATATTGATATTTATATACTGAATATTAAGCAAGCATTTCATGTTCTATGTTGGGGGCGTCAAACTGGATTTCTTCGAGGGCTGGATCAGCATTATAGTTCTCTGCAGGCTGGCGCAGGGTAGGGAGCGGGAGTGAGATGGGACAGCCACCTCCTGCAGCATCCTACCAGCCAAAATGTGTGGCCCCCACGCAGCCCATTTTCGGTCAGGAGAGTGCTGCTGGAGGCCGAGGAGGCCAAAAATGGGCTGTGTGGGACTTTGCAGGACCTCCATGTGGCCTATTTTTGGCCGGCAGAGTGCTGCTGGAGGCCAGGGAGGCCAAAAACAGGCCACGGGGGTGCATGTGGCCCCCCACAGCCCGTTTTGGCTAGCAGAGGCACTTTTATATTTCCAGGCTGGACCTGTAGGCCAGATTTAAGCACCCCACAGGCTTGATGCAGCCTGCAGGCTTTGAGTTTGACACCCCTGTTCAGGGGTGGGATTCAAATTAACAACCGGTTCTGTGGGCATGGCTTAGTTGGTGGGTGTGGCTTGGTGGTCATGTGACTGGATGGGCGTGACCAACTCGACATCACTCACGTCAAGGAGCACTTTTCCTCGCCTGGCCTCTCATGACAGTGAGGATGTTGCAATGGTCGTAAGTGTGAAAAATGGTCATAAGTCATTTTTTTCAGTGCCTTTGTAACTTTGAATGGTCACTAAATGAACTTTTGTAAGTCAAGGATTACCTGTACAAAAATACAAAAATCTTCTTTACTTGCAAAAAGCTGCCCTAAATACCAATCATTAGATTAAAAATACCTGCAAGCCGGAGTTACAAATCAGGCACGGTGTCAGAGCACCTTGAGGAATTAAAATAGTTAAGTTGTCAGATATTGTTTAAAACATCACTTTACTTACAGCTGATGATTTTACTGTACAGTTTACATCCTTAGGATCTGAAATTATGCAACAGGAAAAGAATTAATTAACATGTATATGGCATGTTTTTCAAAATGTTGCCAACTGCTATAATAAAAAACTATTATTATGAAAGGGCACAATAATGGAAAATTGTCGTAAGTATGAAAGTTTTGTTAAACCTATATTTAAACCTGGAGATGGGCTAAGGTTACAGATTCTGTCCTATCCTAGATTCAGTTCTACCTTTTAAAGGTTATTTTGTTATTTGACAAAGAAAAGCAAGGAGATTAGGTTTTATTTTATCGCTGTGAATAGCACTGATTGATTGACTTTTTGTCTGATTCCAAATGAAAACATATTCAGAATCTGAATATGTGTATGTATTTATGTGTATACACACAGACACACACACACATACATACATTTTTATACACATACATATACCTATACACATTTTACACATATACACATATATAAATCCATTTTACCATAGGTACTTACGTTCAATAAGAAACAGGTAGCATATAATCCCCATTAAGGATATTATAATGCCAGGTACCACAAAAGACAAGCCCCAGCAGATAGATACCCAGTAGCCAGCTATTAAGGATCCTAAAATATTTCCTACTGAAGTGTGGGAATTCCATAATCCCATTATCAATCCTCTCCTACAATGAATGAAAAAGAAAAAAAAAAGGTTAATATTCTCACTAACATTAACTATGTGCAGTGGAAATATTCACATATTTAAAATTTAGGTGGTCATGTGACTGGGTGGGCATGGTCAACTCAATGTCACTCACATTGAGGGGCGCCTCACCAGCCTCTACTTGCCCCTCCCCTCCCAGATACCCCTTGCCTGCCTGCCTGGACTCCTTAGGGCCCCAACAGGAAGCAGTTGTTGGAGCTAAGCAGCCCCCACTAGAAAGAGTTGGCAAAACAGCTGATGTTTTTTGATAAAGCATTATTTTATTAGAATTAAAGAGAGAAGAATAGAGAATTTACCTTCCTTTTCCAAACCAGTTGCTAATGCAAGTGACCACACTGGGCCAGCCAGTAGTTTGTACCAATCCATTAGCTACCTGAAAAGTTTTTAATGGCAAAGGTTATCCTGCAGCAAAATATTTCATAGCTACAAAATACACAATAATAAGCTAATATTTAATATAATATTTAAATTTATGGTACACATTCCAGAAAAAATATATTATAATTGTTCATTAGCACAATAAATCAGCCAGATTTCAAGTCTCATCCTTGTATTACTCTTTTCTGTCTGTACTACATCAAATTAGCCATTATAATTTGACCTCTCTGGGTCATTTTGAAACATATAGAGTAACTGCTGTGCAACAGAAGGGTATGTACTATGTGATATTTTTATTCTCCATCTATTTAACTGAAGGAGTTGCAGTGTCAATAAAAGTGAAAGGAGTATTGATTTATGCATGACCCCTGAAGAGAATAAATAATCAAGCATTATTTAGTTCAGAAGCAGATAGCAATCCTCTCAGTTGTTAAATAGTAGAGCTGACAGAAAATGCAACATCTTTTGGAATATACCAGGCATCTTCTGCTTTACCAAAGATTTATGTTTCTCATTAGGAAATGTGTACTTTGGAAGAGTAAAGAATTGAAGTCAACATTTTCTTTTTTAATTATTTATATATTGTTTTGGAAATAGGCTCCTACAAAGTACATAGTACAACATATGTTTGTTTTGTTTCAATGCAAAATCCAGCTACTTTCAGTGAAATATCCAGCTTTTAAAGGCAGATTTAGAAATTAGTTTGAATTCTTCTATTTCCTAACAATCAACTGCTCTTAATCAATAGTAGTTTAGACTGTTGTTTTGAGCTGCAAAACAGATAAACATGAATTATAAAATTTCTCTTCAGAGTAAAAATTCTCAGAATAATTACAAAACAAGTAAAGTGTTAAAAAATGGGTTTATCTGTAGAAGGAATAATACAAACTTTTATATCAAATAATAATAGAAACTCTTTTATCAAAGAAAAAAATTATACATACCCACCCATCCACCTACACACCATGCTTCTCCTAAAACACGACCCACCCCAAAAAGAAGGCCCAGCACTGTTTTGTGCACATGTGTTAAAATTAAGTCCTACCCCCAAAATTTAGCCCTATTTAAGCACATGCACAGCTGGTCCCCATTTTCTCATGTCGCTTGTAGTGCGGACAACACTGAGGAAGCAAGTGGGGAAAGGTGGAGGGAGAAAAATATACTATGTATGTATGTATGCATGTATGTGTTAGCCTTGGAAGCCATATTTTATTTAGAAGCTTCAAGGCTGCCACTGTCAACTCGTAAAGCATTCCTGGCCTGCTCTTGAGTTGCCATAGCCAGGAGGGGGGAGAAGCTCGATTGCTATGACTAGAAGCACATTCCACGCATACCTTTCTCCAGATTGCATTACTAGAGCTAGCTGGAGAGGCGTGTTTTCTGCAGTCCACAAAGTGCTCCGTTGGAGAATGTGATTTATGAGAAACCCTAGGAGGAAGGGGGAATAGGGTCATAGGTAGGCAGTAAATTACGTGGGGCAGAGCTGACTGCACTTACATGTTGCTCCTAATAAATAATTGGATTTCTTTTGAACCTTGGCTCAAAGCTCATGAATTAATTAGGGCATCCGTCAGAACCCTGACAGCCACATTTAGTGCCTGGGAATTTGGGAGAAGGGATTTCATAGAGAGGTGGAAGATTAGACACAAGACAATCTTTTCATAGAGTCAAGGACAAGTTTCCATGCACCTGGAGAGGTGTGTCTGGGGGAATATCTCCAGTTGGGACGATGGTTAATGGGATGGATTGGTTGGTACAGGGGATGGGCTTTTGATTTTCAGTTAGGAAGGGAAAACCCGCATCTCTCCGATTTGGGTTTTCCCAGATGTGCCAATATGATTTCTCAGTAAATGTTTACCTGGATGAACTTTGTGTCTGAGTGCTGAATGAAATGGGGAGTTTCATTGCAACAAATTGGAACCTGTGTGTGTGTGTGTGTGTATTTCTATAAAAGAAGAGATTTTCCTTGGTAATTTTTACAAACCGTACTACTATGCAGAATATTCAGTGAAAGCAGGAATCACTAAGAAATGAACTGGAGAAATCTAATCATAGTACCTTTATACAAGCCTAAAATATGATCCCATTTTGGCATGTTATACACTGGTTTGGTCAATGTACTTCAAGAAAGCATGGGCCTGCTCTGCAAGAGGTGGGTATGGATTTGTCAATGTTCAACTGGGTGGGAATGATATGCGTCTTTTTTAAAAAAATCATATTATTTTCAATGTTTTTTTTAGCTTTGTTTTGTCTTTGTTCAATTTTTCTTCTGGATTTTGGATTTTAATTTTTGAATTAAAAAAAAAAGAGAATTAGATGAGCCAATGTAAGACTATATAATCAATAGTTACTAGCCACAATATTTAATAATAACATTAAAATGCCTCCAAACTATGGTTGGGATACATCAACAAGAAAATGCGGCACCATAGATGCATTTATATTCTTAGGCTGTATTTGAAAGGTTTCAAAAAATAACCTAGTATGCTTACCTGAGCAATGATGTAGTACCACAAACTATGTATATTACAAAAATAGCCAATTCCAAATAATGCAGTAAAGAATCCACTGGCAAGCATCCCACCACTGAGATAGTATCGAATAGGCAAACGTTCTCCTATTATGCCACTTTAAATTAAGGTTAAAAAGAAGATTAATTTTGAATGCATATTGAATTAAAACTAATTATAATCATAGCTCTCTGAAAACCAAAACCTTACAAATTATTAAAAATCCTCAAAATATAGATTTCAAATGTAATTTCAAGAATATTTTGCCAAGATTATTAAAATGTCTCCAGTATAATCAGGTCCAACATATGTGTCTATGATACCAAAGGATAGCTTGTTGAATCACTATTCCCAACACGAAGAGGTAGAAAAGGGACACAGAGGCTTTGAGAAGCTCAGTGAAAAGCAAATAACAGCATGACAATTATTTAAAATCATTAAAACATAGGTTTTTGAATGGCCTAAACGAATACTTCTTGGTGGACTCTATTTATGCATGTAGATAGAAAGTGGCTTAAAGTGAATTTATACAACCCAAAATAGTTTTCTTACATTTCAAAATGAAACACTATAGCTTAGCAGTAGCAGCATGAATCACTGGTATTTGAAACATTTTGGGGTTTTGCAGAGAATTGAATCAATGTCAGTTTCTCACATTTCTTTCAATTTTAATTACAATAAGAAATATTTCATGTTTTGATTTGGTCCTTTCAACATTTCTCATTCAGTAATATTCTCTTTGCTTCCCAGAAACCTCTAAGCAAAATGCTGACCAAGCTCAATGATAGAATAATATTCTGTATTGATGCACTTAACTTATGAAACAAGAGTAAGAAAATGTACCTCAAATACATTCCGACAGCATAAGCACAGAGAAATGAATAATCCAGGGCTCCCAATAACTGCTTGTAGTTGCTTTTATCTAGGAAGACAGACAGACACACACACACTTTAAGGGACCGAATTGCTTAAATACAAATAACCTATATAAACAGTGATTATCTGTTCATATTTGTGTTTTGTATAAAAATGGCTTCATATAATTTAAAGAGAAAATCGTTTTCTCCAAGATCAAATTATAGCAAAAGAAAATGTACCTTTATGGTTAAAAGTACATAACTTAATCATTATACCATTATACAAATGGAAATTATGCAGTTTAAAATGGCCTTTCATATGTTAACTTTTAAAATGTGTCTAAATAATACCATCCCTGCATAACACGTTCATATTCAGTAAATGCATTGGGGAAAGAAGGGCCTGTGCTGGCTTTGTATATTCAGCTAAAACTGTGCCAAGAACAAAGTGCTTAAGCTGTATTTGTACTATCTGTCAAAAGGGATGCATAATACCATCCACGAAATCCTGGAGATGTGATGAAGGGGTGCAGTCATTATGTCTCCCTTTCACACTTACCCTTGAATATGTCATGTGAACAACATTGCTAGTATTTGTGCTGCCTAGCAATACATTTAATACTGAACTGGGAAGGAAAAAAGAATGTAATTAATTTTAAAACTTCTATATCACTAATCTTTACAAGATTCAGGTCAAATAATGTAGCTTGGGTTTTTTTTACATTACACATAGATATCAAAAAAAATATGCTTCACTGAACTTCTTAATGTTCCTGACTTACTTCAAAAAGTATTTTCTTCTTATAAGATTAAAAAGTTCAGATAAGGATGTGTTTAGAATAAAATTGATGGAGAAAAATCTATCTATCTATCTATCTATCTATCTATCTATCTATCTATCTATCCTTTTCCGATTGTCCTATTTAAAGCAGTGTTTTACTTCAATTATTTGTTTGCTAATCTTTTCGAATTATTATGGTTGCTTGCACAGTCAGATAAGACGGCTAGACTGGATTTGGCCTTTTTATGCATCAACTGAGTCCTTTACAAGGATCTGGGATTAGGTAGATGTTTTTGTCTGATGGTGATAAAAGTATTGTTTGCAGGATGTAAGATAGTCCAAACAAAGATGCTAATTGCAATTGATAGACAGTGATTTTTGTCAATTCCCATGGTGTTCTATTATTATTATGGTTTGTTACAATCAGCCAGATGTTTGGACTGGATTTGGCATTTTTGTTTGCTTATCAGGTCCTTTCTCGAAGACCTTGGCTAGGCAGATATGAATGCTTGAAAGTGTTACAGATATCGTAGGATATAAGCTGTTCTAAGTAAAGCTAACTTTTGATTGATGGTGAATTTAACAATTCCAATGGTGTTCAAGTGGTGCTCCGATTATTTTGGGATTGCACTCAAGGCACATTATGGTTGGTCACACACTCTTCATTATTATTATTATCAGAAGTAGGGAGACCTACTACTCACCAAAAGGTTCCCAGCCACAGCGAGAATTATTATATAATGTTTTAACAGGTGGAATGTGGATGCCATTTTCTTCATGGGTATCCCGCTCAATAATTTGAAGAGTAGTACAGTGTTTATGCAGCTCTCCCTAAATTAAAGTGGAAGAGAAGGGAAATGCTGTTGAATATTTTATTTTGTTGAGTCTTTACCTTACTGGAACAAGCTATCAGACACTGGAAATGAAGTTAAGTAAGTTATTTTATATTATATTATTTCAAAACTTGATAAGGCTACTTCAAACTTTCAAATTTTAGGCAACATGCGTTATTCAGTTTAAAATTTATCTGGCATAGTATTTATTATAAAATTAAATGTAAAGTTAAGCACCCCATTTCCTGATTCTATTAACTTCTATGGATTATAATTTTCTTGACTGCACATATTTACTTTTTTATTTTTATGCTTGTTCACTGCCCAGAATCGCTTGTTTGAGATGGGTGGCCATATAAATCGAATGAATGACTGAATGAGTTATCTTACTCTGTATTCTTTTAAAACCCAATAAAGTTAATTCAGACAGATTATAACTTTTATGTTTATCACAAAACTTGATAAGGCTAATCAGCCACAAGTAAAAGTTAAATGAAAACCATAAAAAGATTTGGACAGCTTTTAAGAGAATATCCAATATAATTTTCCAGATAAATTCATCACAACATATCTATATCCTTACAAACATCCTAAATGCACATTCAAGTGAAATGAAGCCCTTTTAAGATGCATTCACAAGTTTTACATATCTTTGAATACAGCATCTTTGTAGAATGTTAACCAAATAATAGTTTGTTATCCATATTTTATGTAGTTTTATTACGGTACATCTGTGTAGTTCTAATTGTCATCCAGCATTTTTATAGAACTACTGCACTGTCATGCGCAGTTATACTTTTAGGGAAAATAAACACATACTTCCTTGTTTGACAGCATCAGGATATAGAAAAAAAGTTACTTCCCTTTTGCTTACCTTAACTATACTGATTGGCTTCCTTGATAAATGAAAACTAACATACAGCAGGAAAGTCAAGACAAATATGAAAGCCCTGTACCTGTAACAAAACAAACATTTCATGCTTTGTAGATATATTATTTGGCAGAAATATATTAGCAATTATTTTAGGTTATTCTATTATATCCACATTTCTTTTCTCTGTACACAGCTAATTAGTAGCAATGTGAAAAATGCAGGTAAAATCAGTTAAGTAAGATTCCATTTGACTTACACAATTTTCAAAATGTAACAAGGAAAAACTACTTGGTCATTAAAATAACCAGAAGGGTATTTGCCATTGATTAAGGAGTTACATAAAAACACATTTCATGAGCACATTTTCCCAAAGATTAATAATTTAAGCTTTGGCAGATCTTAGGCATAGTTACTCAGAAATTTGCATCAGCCACAAACACTGCTAGATAGGTAGAAAAATATTAAAATAGCTTCCAGTTCTTCTGAAAGTTTTCATGGCCAGGGGTGTGATATTTTTATCACAAATAAAATGTGCAATTTTTCAATAAATTTCTATGGGTGTGATTTTTCAAGATATTGATTGTCTAGTTGTAAACATTATCTAATCTCTAGGATATGAAAAATTTCATTTTTGTTTGGTATAACAAGACAGTAAAGATTATACGACTTTCTACCAAGTTAACCAACAAATCTTATACATACACTCAATGGTTCTGATCTAAACCCTCCCCCTCCCAAGTTTATGGATCATGCCCAACAATTATAATAAAACACTTGTTAGAAATACAGTATATCCACAGTATATTACTACAGCCATAAAAAGTATAAACACAGAGAAAACAAATATACATTTTAACAATAGATATTCTGAACAATTCTATTTTAATGTAGATTTGTTAAAAAGGAAATCAAAGCCAGGTTCCTTTTCAAGTAATAATAGACCACAACTTACCATTGGTCTTTTGTAAATGAAGTGATCAAACGAATCCCAGGTGGAAGCTCGGCCATTTACTTGAGTACCAAGTTTAACTTTTTGTTACTCAGATGCTTCAGATTTTTGTTCCAAGTTTGCAGTAAACCAAAATGTAATGCTGACTACATTTGTTCCTTGATGTTACCAATCACTGAGGGGTTAAGTCTTTTCCCATATACCTAACTTTATACAAATAGAATATTTTCATGCCATCAGTTTATGCATTCCTTTTTGAGTATAAGCCCATTGAGTTCTTTCAAACCAATTTTTAAGTAAGAGTTCATAGGACTGCAGTTAAAATCTTAAATTAAGGATATCAGCTTTATCATAAAGATAAATATAAATTCAAACAAATGCATTATCTTTGTATTTCATTCTGTGGAAGAAAAATGTATTGAACAAAAAGAATCCTGAAAAGTTATATGTTATCCCAGGGTTAGCTCTTTTTTCAAATTCAAAGCCATAACCAACATACTACATTAAAACGAATTATGAAGTGATGGAATTCTGTAGTCCCAAATTATTTGATTCTATAGATGTCAAGATATTCAGATTTGTTTTCTGGAATTTGAATACTCCAACTTGCCATTTATCCAAATATGTGAACGTGAGTCACATACCTTGCAACTGTGAAAGAAATAGGTGGTATTAAGGCCATATGTATATTTTTTACTGAAAATCTTATCATTCGATGCTGCTTTATTTATTTTAGGCCTGTTTTCAATCTACAGTCTACAAATATGCATAATTTCAAAGATTATACTTTCAGTTCTGTATATTTGATATGAAACTTAAAAAAAATATTTTATACCTATTAGTTTTTTACGGATATTGGAGGTGGGGGGTAGAGTGCTCTCCTTTCATAAGTGATTTGTCTATTCTCTAGTCAATTTCTACAAGTCACCAAATTTTATAGTTCTGTTTTATTTTCCTAATGTTTGATTTTCTATATTCACGCAAATAAAATATTCTTTCTGCTAGGAGGTCGTGCAAAACCAAAGATTCATACAAAATGTTTTAAAAAAAGAGGACAGATGAGAGTACCTATCTTATATTTTTCAAGAGAGGGAGTCAGTGTATTATGAGTTATAATAATCATATAGCACTGTCTTTAGTTGTCTTGGAAACTAAATATGAAGAGGATGAAATGCAAATGTCAAAGCAAAACTTAAACAACAATTCTTCCTTAATTGTAGTGCTTGGCCCATTAACTTTTCTGGCACATCCCTGGATATCTATAACTTACAAGACTGATTCCCCGTTGTGTAACAAAAGCAGCCCCAAATATACCCTCTTTCCAAAATGATGCTACTAAAATAAAAGCAAGAGTGGTGGACCTAAGAATTTCTTGTTTCTATGATATGAATAATATTTAGATTGGCTTCCTTTGGACCTCCATTGAGATTAAGCAATGATTTATTGTAGAAAAGAACTTCATCTTTTAAAAACTTAAATAACAGAACCAGCTAACTAATTGACATCCATAATAATGGTGAAAAAGAAAAGAAGAAAGAGTGAGAGAAAAGGAGGAGGAAAAGGTTATGGTGAACAGCATCAGTTATCACACAATAATGATAGGTCAGGAATGGATGCTGCATCTTTTCACTTGCTTGCTTCATCACCTGTCACTTTTCAAATGAAGTTTATAAGACTGCCAGACTCTGGCTATTCTACAGTGTCCTTTATCCTAGGCTCTGTTTTGTAAATCTTAGAATTCTAGTAAAAATAAAACAGTTATTGCATGTTTGAAATCTGTATTGAGTTGACAATGAGGCTGAAGGATATAAGATATGTGTGACCTGAAAGCTTCTGGTTTTTTATATAATCACAATTTATGAGATAATTTCTCATAATCAAGAACTTGGCTTTTGAGCCATCAAGATTAAAAATAATTTCCTGAAGATAAAATTAGCTAAAATTTGGGATTAAATCAGAATTTGTAAAAGGCATTAATATTCTTGATGCTAGTGTACTGCATGGAAAAAATGCTACTGTTGAATGAATCTTTCTAAGCTATGTAAAAAAGCTTCTTTTGGAAGACATTTGAAGATTGCAGATTTTTATTGGGGGGAAGGATGCCAATAAAAGCAACTTGTTAATAATTCTGCTGTTTTCAATTGGCTTCGTTGCTCTATCTGAGATATTTGGGATTGTTAGAGAACATTTCAACCTTAATGACAAACTTCCATGCATGAACAATTTTTACCTGAAATTGAGAACCTGTTGTAATGAAATTGTTTGTCTTAACCTAGGACTGACTTCTACCCAAACTGACTTCTACATTAAATCTACAACTGAAAGATATTGGTCAAGCCTACTGATCTTATTAAAGTGCCTCAATCATTTGTAATGATTGTACCTGTCAGCCATAACTATCATGAAATTCAGTCGGTAAAAACAAAAAACCAAACTTTTAAATCCTGAGAAAACAAGCACTATATATTTTTTTCTTTTCCCCAAACAACCATGGTACTGCCATGCTAGCCACCCGGAAAGGAAACTCATTCAGAATGAAGTTGGGTTCTTTCAAGAATCTCGGTTTATCGGATGAGACTGATCATCTAGACCAGGGGTGTCCAATCTTGGCAACTTTAAGACTTGTGGACTTCAACTCCCAGAATTCCTCAGCCAGCTGGCTGAGGAA